CGAAGCTGCGTGGAACGTCAGTCGATTTGGGTCGACCCTGAGTCGACCCTGAGTCGAACCTGAGTCGAACCTGAGTCGAAGCTGAGTCGAACTTGAGTCGAACTTGAGTCGAACCTGAGTCGAACAGATCCGTTAGAAGGCCCCCGAAACGAGCATCGAGACGGTGTCCCCACGCTGAGATGCAGCCGTGTGCTGCACACCCGACGCACGCCGAGAGAGAGCTGCCGGCCGCGCAGGGCGCCCCCGCGCCCCTCTCCCGCGCAGCCGCCTCCGCCAACCTTGGGGCGCCCTGGCCTACTCCTCCTCCTCCTCCTTCTCCTCCTCCTTCTCCTCCTCCTTCTCCTCCTCCTTCTCCTCCTCCTCCTCCCTATCCTCCTCCTCCTTCTCCTCCTCCTCCTCCTCCTCCTCTTTCCTCCTCCTCCTCCTCCTCCTCCTCCTCCTCCTCCTCCTCCTCCTCCGCTTCCTCCTCCTCCTCCTCCTCGTCCTCCTTCCCCTGGCCTTGGGGCAGCCGTTTGCCGCGCGTGCAGCAACACTTCACAAAGGGGCCCAGGGACACGCAAAGAAGTCTAAACACAACTCCCAGGGTTCCCCATCCTCTTCCACACCCTGCGGAGGCTCGTCTTCCTCCCCCCCCCCCCACACACACACACACACTTCTCCAGGAGCTTCCCATCTCTCCTCTGGGGGATCGACGACGAAAAGTGTCTGTGTTTCTTGTTGTCCCCCACTTCTGGACCTCTTGCCTCGGCGGCGCCAACGGACGCGGGCGCGGGTGACGGTGTCGGTAACGGCAGGGCGCGGCCGGACCGGCGCTCAGAGCGAGCTGGCAAGAAGAGGGCGGCCGCGGAGGAGGAGGCGGGAAGGGCCCGGCCACCATTAAGCCGGGACCAGCCGTCCCCGGCATCTCTGTAGCCCTACCACGAAATGTTCTTGGAACACGAAAATGTTCTGAGAGCGAAGCCACTGTTCTCAGAGCATGAGCCCGACGTGTCCAACCGAGGCGGCCTCCGCCAGAAGTGCTCTGAGAACACTTCGCGGGAACCACGAGAGGTTCTTAGAACATTGTTTGGTAGGGCTACACCGGACTCACTTCTATAGCGCTCACTTCTATAGTGCTCACTTTGAAATTGTGGTCCGGAAGGGGCCGCACAGGCCTGGCACATGACTGGCACATGCCGCGCACATGACAGCGCAAAAACAGCCGCACATACACCTACTCAGGGGTATAGATGTGAGTGCGGTGTATAGGCACGTCAAGACGCTTCGCAACTGCTCGACACCAGGAGCCGGCGGGCGAGAGAAGCGCGCGGGCGGCCTCGGGCACCGCCGAACCACACGGTGCAGCATTCAGACGCGGAGGGGCGCGAGGAGCAGGCGTGCAGCAGCACGCCACGTGCTCGTGCAGTCAAACACCCTACTAAGGACGCGCGGTAAGGACGCAAGACCCTTGGAAGCCGAAGTTGGGATTTCTCTGGCGGCGGACGACGGAAGCCTCAAGGACGCAAGAGCAAGGACGAGCAAGGACGCAAGGGTACCCTGAGCAAAATCGCGCGTCCTTATGAGGGTTCTTGACTGTATTCGGCCAAATGCTCTCGTCGACGATGCGGAGGCCTGGAAGAAGGGGAACGGAGGGGGGGCGCGGCCGCGGGCGTCGGACCCGGACCTCGGACGCCACAGGCGCAAGAATCAGGGCGGCCTGCTCCTCTGGTTCCCAAGCCCGCGATTCCCCACACACACAGCGGCCCACGGCGTGCGAGCAGGCACGAGAAAGATTTGCCCGAGAGCTTCAAAGCCCCACGCACTGCAGAAGAAGGTGCTCGCCAGGCCTCTCCCCCAGCGACTTCCGACATCGTGCTTACCTCAATTCGCGGCCTCCAGAACTCTCGGCCGCTTCCCTGGAGCCAATTGTTCGTCGCGGATCGTTGTCTGAACTGCCCTGGGCCCCGAAACCAGCAGCCGGACGCCGAGTTTGACGAGAAAGCTTAGGAATTGAACAATTGCTCGTGGCGAAGATCCCCATACTATGTGCCTCTATTTTCTGGCGCGATCCTCCAAGGGTGTCCGAGCAAAGGAACGAACTTGCAGGTGAGCGAGACAGTAGGGGGAAAACAAACCGACCTCGCTTTTGACCACCCTCGCTTCCAAGAGATACCAAGCGATGCCAAACTACGGCCTGTACTGGTCAGGCCGCTTGACGAGGAGGCGCGTGGTATGACTTGGTTTTGCCTGGAAGCGAAAGCGGGGTAGGTAATTCACGCTCTGAGACAGTTCAATCAAAATGAATTTGAATGAACACACGTGAATGGGCGCCGAACCATGTGTGGGTCTGACATGGGTCGGTCGGAATACATTGCATCGGATTACGGGTGATGGGCCTGTCGTGCACCCCTGACGGCTCCCCCTTGGGTAGTAGAAATACCATGCTTGTCACATCGCGGTGACCGACCATAGGGCTCTGACAAGAAACGCGTCCAGCCCGGGGCCGCAAGAGACGCCCCCACAGTATGGACGCAACCGGGCCCGTCACACACACACTCACCCTAACTGCTCTCCCTTGGGTGGCCCAAATGCCATGCCTGCCGTACTGCGGTGATCACAGGAACCTGACAAGACACGCGCCCGCTAGCTGGCGCTTCGCGAAGGGAACGCCCGCACGCTGGACGCGAGCGAGCCCATAATACGCCCCGTGTTGGCTCCCTCCTGGATGGTCCAGAGCTGATGCCGGCCAAATCGTGGTGGCTAGAAAGCTCGCAAAAGAAGGGCGTCCAAGACCGCGAACGGGCGTCTGGCTCGAGGCCTCCACAGTCAGGACGCGAACAGGCTCCTACTGCACCCCCTGGCGGCTCCCCCGGGATTGTCAAGATGCCATGTCTGCGACATCGTGATGGTCCTAGGTGTAACTGATGCTGTGTATGAGTGTGTGGGAAAGCCAGGGTGTGAAGTGACTCAGAGTATGAAAGAGCTGAGCGCGAATGAGTCGGACTGTGCGCGAATCTGGGTAAGCGTGTCTAAGAGTGGGTGGGCACGGGTATAAGTAAGTCTGAGCATGGGTACATCTGAGTGTGAATGATATGGCCGCGAGTGGTCTCTGTGAGTGAAGTTGGGTACGAGTGGATATGAGTATAAGTGGATATCAGATTTAATGGTCTGCGTAGGAGTGAATCTGCGTAGGAGCGGTCTGAGTGCGAATGCGTGTGAGTGTGAGTGCGTTAGACTATGAGTGAGTTGGTGTGTCAGTCTGAGTGTGAGTGAATATTAGGAGGGAGGAGGCGGGAGTGAGGCGGAGAGGCCCCACTGATAGTAATAATGCCTTATGTAAGATGTGGTGAAATTACGACGTCGGAAGTATGGGTCCCCGACGCGGTGATCTCGCTCGAGCCAGTGCCCTTTATGTTTGAAGCATTCCATCGGCTGTTATCTTCCAACAATAAAATGGGACACGCACGTCGTCATTTCTTTGATCTCTACATGCCCCCCCACTCTCTCTGTCCTTCCCTCTTACTCTTATCTATCTCTCCTGGTTCGTCGACCTCCCGGTGCCTATATGTCCATGACCCCCCGTCTTACCTCGTACTGGCTACACTCCCATGCAAGATGCAGAACTCGGGAAGATGAGTGCAAGAAGAGTCCATGGGAGGAGAGGCGTGACATGGACGAAAGCAGCGCCACCACGGCAGCACTCTCATCCACTCGGGTGCTGCTAGAAGTGTCTGTCCCTGGCCCAAGGTGCCCCCAGGATGCCCAGGGAGGCCCCCACGGCCTCCAAAGCACCCCTCACGAAGCCCAAAAGGTCCCCGGGGGTCCAGAACTGAACGGAAAGCTTGGGGCACCTTGGGCCAGGGGCACCTTCAGCGAGCTGGACCGTCCAAATCCCGGCCGCGCTCGTCAACAAGAACACGTCGACGACCCCGAGCCCCGGCGTGCTCGAGTCTCACGCCTCCCCGAGCATCTACAGTCGGGGCGTTGACCTAAGGAACCTTAAATAAGGAACGAGGCCCCTTGATCCCAAAAATTAAGCTTGGAGTTCCCATCGAACACCTCAGGAAAACCCAAGCCAAACTGTAAAACAATCAAGGAACACCGAGCCCCTCCCCAACGATAAGGGTTCCTTCTTCTTCAGCGCCCTGACTGTACTCCTTGCCCCTGTTAAGCCCCCCGTCGCAGCGCCAGTCTCGGACAGGCCTTCAGCAGCGCCATCTCGCCAAAGTAGTCCCCCTCGGGCTTTTTTTTGTTCTCGTCGCGCGCGCCGTCCCCGTGGCGACGACTGGCAGCAGAATCGGCCCACCGCTCCGACCCGCACGCCGTGAGACGCCATCGGCGCTCGGAGGCCCCTGGCCTCACGAGCGCCTCGGAAGTCCCTCGGCGCAACCGAGAAGCACCAGAGGCACGAACGGAACCGTGGAGCGTTCCCACAAGACTGCAGCAACCGTCGCGCCGTTGAAGTGATGGTGCTCCCCAGATGCGGGGTATTCGGGTCGGGCGAAAGGGGGGGATAGCAAAGGGGGGGTTTGATAACCAGCTCACGTAGCTGATTTCCCCGGCGCCTCCCAGCGCCAGAGGCGGCTACGAATCGAGGAATGGGCCCCTCGGTGGGGCCGAAACCAGCTGCATGCAGCAAATTTCGTAACCCCCTCTTTCCCAATCCCCCCCTTTTCGTCCGGCCCGAGATATGGGAAACTCTTGTACGCATCACTCCGGCCACCCCGACACATCAATATCTGCGCCCGCTTGGCGCGTTCCCCCTGCCACCCACCCACCAGTTGCTCTAGAATGGGAGGCGACAGGGGAGGGGGGCGGAGACGGGGGAGTTGCGACGAAACAGCAATAGCAAGCTGTCTGCTCCAGGCGATCCCAACAGAATTGCCCCCGGAAGCAAGCTATGCCACTGTTACGAACGCTCGGCGTGCCATTCCTCCGCCAGTGTTCAGCGAGCAGTTCATGACCGTGCTGTCGCCACATTATCGATCAAAGCACGTCGCCTGCCCTTCGGCTGGGGTGTCCTAGGGTCCTAGGGTCGGGACGTGGCGGGATTAGGCTGCGGCCGCAACACAAGTTGAAAAGCAACACTTTGGGACCTGGGATCCGTGGTGCGGGCACCCCAGAAGGCCGATGGGGCCAGGGATGCCCCGAGAGAACGCCACGCGGATCCGACAATGTTTGCGGGGTGCTGCCCAACGCCGCCCACGACGACAGCAAAGCCGAAACCAACGGACCGACAGACGCCTGGGGGGCGACCGGGGCCGCTGGGGCCGCTGCCGACGCCGCTGAAACGGCGCCCTGGCGCAGCCGGGCCGCTGCCAGGGGCGCCTAGGGGCCCGCGGGGGCCGCCGATCGGCCACGATCTCCAACATCGCTCTGGAGATCGTTGACGCCTGGGACCGCCAGCGGCCGCTGGGGGCGCCGCCGACGCCGCCTGATAGGCGCCTGGCCCCCAGCCTGGCAGGTCGCCTGGCGGTGTTGGCTCCCAAAAAAGCCGGTCTCGTGCAATCAGGGGGACGTAAGACCTGGGTACAGGGGACTCGGAAATCCCCGACGAGGTCGTCAAGAAAATGACGAGGCCGAGCCTGCCTTTCGACGAGGCCTCCCGCTGCAGACGTCCCACGAAACTCCTCCTCGCCAAACTCCGAGGCGCGGCCGTCAAAGAACGATGGCGCACCCGAGTCCTGGCAAACCCGCGCCTTGCGCTCCCCCAATGCCAGCGGTTGCCAGAGACGTGGCCCGGCAACCGCGTGGCGGGCGAGCCCGTGACCGCGCGCGCCTGCGGGCCGCGCTGCGGCTGGCGCGGCAGCGTGGACGCCCTCTGCTCCGCGGGCCCCAGCGACCCGCCGGCGCGCCCGGCGCTCCATGGCGGCTCCGTGGGCTCCGCGCGGGCGGTTGCCGGGGCAGCTGTCGGGCAACCCGCTGCTGGAGTCTTTGCTGTCGTCGGTGATGGGGTCGGCGCGTGCGTCAGTGCTGGCGCAATCGCAGGCGCTGATGTTGGCGTCGATGATGGCGCTGGCGTTGGCGCAGGCGCTGGCGCACCCGTTGGCGTCGGTGCTGGCGCCCGTGCTGGTGTAGGCGCTGGCGTTGGTGCCGACATAGGCGCCGGCGTAAGTGCTGGCGCAGGCGCCGGCGTTGTAGGCGCCGGTGTTTGCGTCGGCGCTGAGTCGACAAGACGCGGCCGCACTCAGGCCGACCGAATAACCATCACCGCGTGCAGGTCGGCCGAGTAATCATCACAAGGCTCAAGCCAACATAATAAACGTCACCACATGTATTGTCCGTATTCAGGCTGGTCGAGTAAACGTCACGCATTCAGGCCTGCTGGCTGAGTAAACGTCACAACGCACAAGCTGGCCGAGTAAACGTTCCTCGCTTCTGGTGTAGGCGTCGGTGTTGTTGCTGGCGTCGGTGCTGGCGCCCGCGTCAATGTAGGCGCTGGCGCTGGTGCCAGCGTTGCCGAAGAGTTCGCAGAGGTCGGCTGGATTGGTGGTGGCGTCGGCGCTGGCGCTGGTGATAGCGTGCCCGCCAGCGTTGGGCTGGCGTCGGTGCTGACCTCGCTAGTGCTAAGTGTTAAGAGTAGGCGCTGGAGGTGGTGATGCCGTAGTCGCTGGCGTTCGTACTGGCGTCGGTGCCAGCTTCGGCGCTGGTGTAAGCGCTGGCGTTGGCGCTGATGGGCGCTGATCTTAACGTCGTTGGCGGCGTCCGCGCTGGTGCAGGCGACGGCGTTGGTGCTATCGCCAGTGCTGAACGGCTGGCCTGGCACTGCTGCGTGCGGCGCGGCTGGTCCCCATCGTGGTGGGCATGGCGGTGCTGCCATATGCACTGGTGCTGCTGCGTGGGTCGCTGCCGGTCCCGGTCGTGGTGCTCGTGCTGCTGTACGTGCTGGTGCTGATCCAAATCGTGCTGTGTACAATCGTCGTCAAGACGCCGATGCAGATGTCTGGCAGACTGAGGCTGCCGACACAACAACCGACCGAACCGACACGACCTAGTGAAACCGACTGCGACGGGAGCCAAGGGACTGCCCCAAGCGATTTCCAATTTGCCCTCGAGTGGCCGCACGAGAGCCGCCAGTGAACCACTCGAACCTCCAATAAGCCTCTGAGGGGCCGCCTATTCACCGCTGTTTCTTGCATTCTCGCTTTATTTGGGCCTCCGATGCCCTTTGATGGGCGCAAGCAGGCCTGAGAGACGCCGTAGAGAGACAACCTAGGGCAAAGGATGGCACCCACGAGGCACTGAAAGCAGTGGACGTACCGATCTTGATCTTGGAACGTCTTGGGCCCCAGGAGACCAACCGGTCCATCCATGCCGCTGGCTTTACGGGCTCCAACTGCCAGGAGATGACCCCCTGGAGGAGGAGGAGGAGGAGGAGGAGGAGGAGGAGGAGGAGGAGGAGGAGGAGGAGGAGGAGGAGGAGGAGGGAGGAGGAGGTGGAGGAGGAGGAGGACGAGGACGAGGAGGACGAAGAGGAGGGGGGCCACATTCCAATGAATTGGCTGGGCGATCGTGGCCCGGTGGCGGGCCGTGGCGCCGAACGTCCCCGCATGGCCCTGACCACCCTGACAATTCCAGCTCGCTCGCTCGCAAGACCTCTGGCCAAGCATCGCCGAACGGGGGCGTGCCTGATGGGGGATCGCAGGAATAGCGCATCCAGGCGGCAAGCCTGGTGACCAGTGCTCCCCCAACAAAACCGTTGCAGACTTTTGTCTGGCACATACTACTCCAACTCCCGGGCAATCATTCCGTCCAGAAGTACACAGATGCCCCCGCTGCCCCGTGCGGCGAGGGAAGGACCCCGCCTGCGTGTCGTAGACTTTGACCTCGCGGGGGCATGAAGATGAGAAGGGGAAGGATGCTTGGTATCGGCGGTGGACAAACCTCCCTTTAGTATACGTACCGCCCTTTAATGAAAACGGCCTGGGACCGAAACCGACGGACCTGGACCCGCAAAAATATCGACGTGCCAGGGTAGGAGGCCTACCCACCCCCGAAGACAAGAGGACGAGGGGGCAGACAACACGAGAGAAGCAGAAGGACAAGGAGGTGCGCCCTCCCTCTTCGCTCCGGGCCCTGTCAGCGAGCACGGCTATTTTCCGCTCAAGGGTACAGGGCAGTTTTTAATACATGGTTAATGCATGTATAAATTTATGCATGAACTCATCGTTGGTTTTAATGCTAAATCCCTGCATTTTCCATACATGATCCGCACGCGGAACATGTATAACACCGGCGCTGTAGAGTTGCGCTAATACGGAAGTGTAGGCTGTGTAGCTTAAGAGTGTGCCTCCGTGCCTCCGAATGGGCTCAGAACCGCCGCGGCAGCAGGTGGCGCTAAACATCCAGGAAGCCCTTGCCACCAGTTTCAGTCTTTTGAGTGTGCCAAGCACGGGGCAAGTCCATGCGAGAAAGAATCGTGCGCATCCGGGTGCACTTCGCGCTGGGCCCATCTCTGGATTCAGGGCCTGATCTCTCCACTTCGCGAAGAGGAGGCGCTTCGCCTGTTGGGCAGCTGGTTCTGCTCTGCTGCCTTTCAACCACATCTGCTCTGCCTTCCTCTGCCTTGGTGGCTGCTTAGAGGAAGACAAAACGGCATGAATATAAACTTTTGGCGGCCGCGCGGATTTCTTGGATCTGCGCCGGACACCCCTCTTCCCTGGCGCGCGGAGCGAGCCAGGGGCGGCGCCAGAGGCGCCGCGGGGGGGCCCAGCGCCGATCCAAGAAACCCGCGCGGAGCGCTAACAGTTCATGCTCATGTCGCTTTTCCTTCTTTGAAAAATCTGCTCTGCCATCCTCTGCCTGGGTGGCTGCTGCAACTGCGCCTTCTCGCTCCACTCGCGCATCTCGGGGATGGACAGACCCCCCTTTAGTAAAACGTGGTTTAGCGAAAACGACCTGAGGCCCAAACCTGGCGGGCGCAAGCCTGAAAAATAACGGCCGCGGCGCCCTCTCAAGAACCGAAAACGGACAATTCACTAATCGACGTGTCACTGTTGGGGGTTCTGTCCACCCCCGAGCATCCCAGTCCTCTGCGCAGTGCAGCGAAGCCGAGGACCGATGGCGCCAGCGCCGAACGGAAGAGCGCCTCGCGGGGACAGCTTGAGCAAGTGGCTCGCGCGGGGGGGGGGGGGGGCAGAATGGTGGCCTCCCGGCGCCACGCCCGGAGCTCGGCCCGGGGCCAGCGCGACTCGGACAGGAGGAAGAGATGGCGGGAAGGAGGGGGAGGAGGAGTGGGATGAGGAGGAGTGGGATGAGGAGGAGGAGTGGGACGAGGAGGAGGAGTGTGATGAGGAGGAGGAGGAGGAGGAGGAGGAGGAGGAGGAGGAGGAGGAGGAGGAGAAGACGGAAGTGGAAGTGGAGAGGGAGGATGGAGGGAGACAGGGGGGGGGGACAGGGGGGGGGACGAGAGGAGAGAGTAGGGAAGTGGAGGGGGAGGGGTGGAGGAGGGAGACAGGGAGGGGGAAGAGAGAAGAACGGATCACTATGAGGAGGGGGCAAGACAAGCCCTGCCAGGTGTTTTTTTTTGCGTCTGGTGGACTTGCCCGACACGACAGGCTCCGAGACGCCCCGAAGACCGCCCGCCCAAGAGCTCCAAAACTCGCCCCACGAGGTTTGAACATATGCCTTCCACGCCTCGACAACAACACATGGCGGCCGAACAAGGGCCTGAACCCCCGTCTGATCCCCTCGGGGCTGCCCAAAAGCCCACGCTGTCACCCATCGAAGAGCCTCTCGGGCCTTCGCAGCATCCCCAACTCCAAAGCAACCCATGGACCACGCATACGAGACCTCGAACGACATCTAAGCCTGAGAGCTGGTGCTTCCTATACAGCCGGGGCGCTGAAGAAGGAACCCTTCTCGTTGGGGAGGGGCTCCGTGTTCCTTGATTATTTCAGAGCTCGCCTTTGGTTTTCCTCAGGTTTTCGATGGGAGATCGAACTTGACCTGATGGGAAAAAGGGGCCTCGTTCCTTATCTAGGGTTCCTTAGGTCAACGTCCCGACTGTACCTCTTGGCCCACAAAGGCCCTTCACAGCAGTGGCAGATTGCCGTGCCCGTCCGCTTCGGGAGCGGCCACGAGGGGGGTGTCCAAGAGGGGGGGGTGCAAATTATGACCGGCGGCATGTGCGCGGCCCAGCGGGGGGGCCAGGGACGTAATGAAATAAGAAGAGGCGCCATAAGATCTGGGGAAATATCATGGCCCCCGCCATGATATCCCCACCCCCCCCTAGTCATCACCCCCTCTTTTCCGCCCCCGAAGATGGCCGTGCCCGTCCGCTGCGCCCGTAAGAGACACCCCGGGGCTGTCCGGAAAAGCCCACGGCACCACGCCTCCGTCGCGCGGGGTCCGGCGGACGGTGCGCCTCTCGATGTCGCGAACACGGGCGGCGCTGGGACTCCGGATGACCACCGACACCTCTCCGCTCTCGAGGCAAAGCGCCGCCGCCGCTCCTCCTCCTCCCTCCCTCCTCCTCCTCCCTCCCTCCCTCCCTCCCTCCCTCCCTCCCTCCCGCCCTCCCTCCCTCTCCCTCCCTCCCTCCCTCCCCTCCCTCCCTACCCTCCCCTTCCCTCCCCCTACCCCCCTCCCTCCCCCTTCCCCCTCCCCTCCCCCTCCCCCGTCCCCCTCCTCACCCCCTCCCCCCTCCCCCCTCCCCCTCCCCCTCCCCCTCCCCCTCCCCCTCCCCCTCCCCCTCCCCCTCCTCCTCCTCCTCCTGCCTCCCCTCCTCCTCCTCCTCCCCTCCTCCTCCTCCTCCCCTCCTCCCTCCTCCTCCTCCTCCTCCTCCTCCTCCTCCTCCTCCTCCTCCTCCTCCTCCCTTCCTCCTCCTCTCTTCTCTCCTCCGCCTCCTCCCTCCTCCTCCCTCCGCGTCCCATACCCTCCCTCCTCCCGCCCTCCTCCTCCTGCCTACTCCTCCTCCTCCCTCCCTCCTCCGCCTCCTCCTCCTCCTCCTCCTCGCCACTTCCTGTCCTACCGCCTCCCTTCCCTCCCCCTCCTCCTCCTCCTCCCCTCCCTCCCTCCTCCTCCCTCCTCCTCCTCGCTCCTCCTCACTCCTCCTCTCCACTCCACCCTCCTCCTCCCCCCATCCCGCCCTCCCTCCCTCCCTCCCTAGTCCCCAACATCCCTCCCTCCCTCCCTCCCCTCCATCCCTCCCTCCCTCCCTCCCGTGCCCTCCCTCCCTCCCTCCCATCCTTCTCCTCCCTCCCGCTCCTCCCTCCCTCCTCCTCCTCCTCCTCCTCCTCCTCCTCCTCCTCCGCCTTCCTCTCGGGGATTGGCAAGGACCCCCTTCAGCAAAGCGCGGTTCAGTGAAAAACGACCTCGGGCCCAAACCTGGCGGGCGCAAGCCTGGAAAATGACGGCCGCGGCGCCCTCTCGAGAGCCGGAAACGGACAATTCACGAATCGACGTGTCAGGGTGGGGGTCCTGTCCGCCCCAAGTGTAGTGGACAGCGCCCCAGCTAGATCCGGCCTGTCCCCCCCCCCGGCAGTGCGCGCCTCCTTCTCGCCCTCGTCGCCCTGCATATAGGCGCCGACCCTGCCCTCGGCCAGGATGAAGAAGCGGTCGCCGATGTCCCCCTGCCTGGCAACCGGCGGCCCGTGGCCATGCGCTCTCGTGCCGCAGCGACCCACACGAGGCCGAACTGCTCCGTGCCACAAGATGGCCCATCGTCGCCTCTCAGAGCAAGCTGGGCCGTCTCGTCATCCGACTGTTTCTGGTGGACTGGAGCTGGCGTTCAGGAGGGCCGCCCTCGACGGCCCCAGCCTGCAAACCTCTGCGAAACTTGGCCCAGATGTTTCCGAGCCGCTTTGGGCTCCCAGTGTCAATATCAAGTGAGATGCAAGACAGGGCGGGAATAACACCTTAGAATCTCAAACAGTCTAAAACCGACGGTCTATCAACGTAGTGCGAGGTGGCAACTAGGCATACGTGCTCTGGAGCTCGAGCCATCCCTTAAAGAGCAGACGCATACCAGATCAGCCCGCGTCGGGGAGATTCACTCATCGAATCGACTCTGTGCGCCTCACACGACTGCACTGGGGCACAGGGGGGGAAATCGAAACACTTGGCCCGTTGACTCCAATTCAGGTACCCTCCCAGGCTCAGTCGCATCGCAGAGGGTTTCCCGAGTTCGCCCCCGTGACTGCATTGTAGTTGACTGCCAGACCACGACCGCTCGCACACGAGGGCGAGGGGGGCCCGAAGGCCAACGCAAGAATGAGGGGGGGAATGGGGGAACAGGAAGAGGCGGAGTAGGGATCGGAGGGAAACGGCGATGAGAGGCATGAGTCCAACGCAAGGGGAAGCGAACAGGGGAAGGGGGAACCGAGTGGCAAAGGACAAAAAGGGGAGGAGGATGAGGGACAAGTGTGAATCCAAGACGCATCAACGGAGTCCTACAACCCGACGGATCAACGTGACTGTTGCGCCCCGACAGTCCGTGGGGCTTCTCGTGAAGGGCACTGCCTCACTCTGATTTCGGATCTTGAATGGCACGCTAACGGCCGCCTGGTCTGGGACCAATGGTCTCGCAAAAGACAGGTGAGAGGCGAGCCTTTCGAAGATCCTACGTGAGCCACGACTGTGGCAGAAGTCATTAGCAGGTCATTGGTGGGCCATTCGTGGGTTACTACAGTGCGGGCGCGGCCGCAAGAAACCCTCGCAAGAAACCCAACCCTGAGAACCCGTGCGCGAGGTGCACTTGAGGGGAAAACTGGAGCACCCTGAACGCAGCAAATCCTTCAACGGCTGCGGAAAGTCATCGCGAAGCGCGAGGAGCGAAGAAACCCAGGGTACCCTGACGAAACCCATATGGTTTCTTGATGCGCGCCCCCACTGTAAAGGATCAGTTTCAATGCTGGGCCATTTGTGGGCCAGACTCATTACGTGGGCCACTCGCGGGGCCCTTCGGGGACCGATCGCGGGGCACTAACGGGCCAGTCGTGGGGAACCAGAGAAGTAGCGGGGCAATCCATGAGCAGTTGCGAAGGAACGCATTCCCTGAGACGTCAGCCTCACGCATCCTTACAATTACGGGGAACTCGTGGTGCAACATGCGCGCAACGCTGAAGCGAGATCCACATCTTAAACGAAAGAACAGCCCCCATCCTGCAAAGTGTTGCAAATGTTGAGGACGAATGTGCGCGGCGCTAGAACGAGAACCATACCTTGAAAACGGACCGACCTCCATCCGTGAAACGTTTGCAATATTTCAGACGAGTGCGTGATGCGCGAGAGCGAAAACCAAATGTTGAAAACGGGCCACCCTCCATCCGTGAAAGCGAGGGTCACTTTTTGTTGTTGCATTTTTTGTTCAAAAAGGGCCGCCCTCCATTCTTAGGCTGTAGCTAGGTAGATATCACGCGACACGCCTGGTCCGCCCGGCTGACATGACTGGGGGTGCGACAGGGACGCACTACTAGCCAACGTGGGCCCAAAACAGTGTGGTCGAGCATGCTATGTGGAGCAACCTGCGTGGTGCAGTTCATGTTTGAGGAATTTGGAACTGCCAACCGCAGCTCTCCCACCCTCCCGCCCGCGACTCGGCTTGCGAAACCCATGCGGTGCACTTGCGGGTCGGTCTACTTGGTCATGGTTGGCGCGTCTCTGCGGCCGCGCTGGCGCTTGCAAGCCCGCGCGCAGAGCTGCTACAGTCGGGGCGTTGACCTAAGGAACCCTAAATAAGGAACGAGGCCCCTTTGTTCCATTCAATTTACCTTCGATTTCCTATCGGAAACATGAGGAACACCTGAGGCAAGCTGTGAAACACTTAAGGAACACGGAGCCCCTCCCCAACGAAAAGGGTTCCTTCTTCAGGGCCCCGACTGTAGCTGGTTTGGCACAACCGATGCGGCCGCGATGGCGCATACCAATGGCAACGTCCGAGCGCATGACAGAGGCCGCGCTGGCACGCGGGCACTGCAATGCGGGTTGGTGGCCCGGGCGGGCGCGGTACACCCGGCGAAATGCTCAAGAAATCATGGGTTAAGACATTCATAGTCTCAGATTTGGATAAGAAACACAGAATTATTTCTATTGGACTCATAGGGTTTACATTGAAGCATTAAGAATAATCGAGACTCTGGTCGAACATTTAACTGTTCTTAAGCATCGCCTAGGGTGTACAGCGATGACGTCGACACCAGCGGCAACAATTATGATAGTAGTAATGGTGGTGGCGATGATGACGATGACGACTGCATGGCCAGTGTCGGCGCCGATGCTGGTGACGCTCATGACGACGGTGATGTCCACGTGCCGCTGATGCGGTGCTGGAACGATTTCGACGTGCACGCGCGGCCAGCGTGAACACGTGGCCCGCCATCTATCATTCGACGAGGAACGTGCCCCTTCAGCAAGCGCGCAAGGCCGTCCGCGTGATTTCGACGTGCGCGCGCGGCTCGCGTGGTCCCATGTGGGAAATGGTTGGACACGAGCGGCTCGCGTGGTCTCACGTGGGCAACAGGTTGAACGCGAGCGGCTCGCGTGGTCTCATGTGGGAAAATTGTTGCCCACATGTGATTTTCATCACATGAATTCGCCAGGGTGCGCGCGGGGGGGGGAGGGTCGAACATCGCTAGGTTCGCGCGCTGTGCCGCCTATTATCGGGGATAGAATGACGTGAGGGGGACTAGATGGCAATGGTAACACGAATTACGTCGATATCGCACACCTGTCCGTATCACTATGAATAC